TAGGGAAATATTTTCGAGCTGTTTTGTTGATAGTTCTCCATAAAGTCATACAATTTTGGATTACAAAAATTGGCCACCTTTTCCCAGTCAGAAAATATTATGCTGTGCTAAAACAACTTTTTAGTCCAACAGTTATTTAAAATTAAAAATGATAAGCAATGATTTGAACTATTAGTTCTTTTGATTCCGCTAAATCACTTGAAGAACCTGGAGCAACCTGAATGAAAGAAATATGGTACGCCTCTTCAGAGTTGCTAAAAAGATGTAGAATGAATGGACATTGGATCTAAGAGACAGACAGTCTCAATAGGTATTCTTAGAAGAAAAATTTATGCCTTGATTTGCTGTAAGATATTTCTTGTAATTACCAAATGTTGTTATGGAAAAATGACTATACAAACATGCATTCACACAACATGTCCTTCAATAACGAAATCCGCCATTAAAGTCATTCCTAGAAGACGAAATGCAAAAATTAGGAGCAAACCAGAAATTAAAATCTGGAATCTTTTATGTTTTGGAATCCGGAATCTTCACAGGTAGAATCCGGAATCCAGCATCTGGAATCCGGAATCCACAGCTGGGAATCCAGAATCTAATACTGTCCTGGATTACCTTACATGGGGCGAGGGGCTTGCTTCATTGCGATGACCAGAGATCGCCGGCTATAATGAGCGAGCCGCGATGGATCTCAGCGTGATCGCAGTCGCTCTAACACTCATTCTATGCAAGTGTTAGCTGTGTTGGATTTTTATTACTGTACGTAGGCTTGCAATCTAACTGAGCGTGAAAACCTTCAAAACTCGGATTGTCACTGTCCTTTTCGTTTTCTCTTTGAGAATTTTCGTCTCTGCTCACGTTATAATAACGTAAATTACGGCGATTGGCATGTTTACAAACCTTTCTTTGGTTCTGTTGTTGCTACTTCCCGGCTCGCTTGTTCCGAAATTTCACTTTCAACTAACGAGAAAAAGCTAGAGAGACATCCGGGAAATCAGGTCGGACATCGTACAATTTGGCAGATGGCGTGACAGCTTTACCTCTATGTTTTCAAAACAGTATAGTATAGTATACTCTGACAGAGCACGCTCCTTCAACCACTGACAGCGCACGCTGTAACCGAACTTTATTTTAAAAACTGATCAAGTCTTACGATTATAAGACGAGAGATCCACTTATGAGACAGGTAAAATGTTCTTATTCTGTATCGTAACGATCACTGGTGGCAAAAACGATGCCAAAGACAACTCCTAACTAGCACTGTGTAAACAAAGAAGCGTTTTGTTCCAAAGAGCAACTTCAAATTCTCAATTTCTCCTGCTTTTTTAAACCCAATGAAGTTTTACCATACTAGACTTCAAGCCTTTATTCCAGAAACCCTTCTTCTCACGTTCACCCTGTTGAATCTGAAAGGAATAAAAAGTGGAAAGAAAAGATTATAGTTTTTATCATGGGATTTGAAGGGCGAGGTTGAATTTAACGTGACACCAACTGAAGAGCGAGGACCAAATACAGAAATCCTATATAAGGCGGATTAAGAGCGATAACTGGATTAAATACCTACTCAACCTGAGGTTAAGGGATTATTACAACGTTGTAAAGGAAGACAAAAGTATTCTGAGTAAAACAGGAACTAGATGAGTTCGCTGAAAGTATTAAGACTTCTAGGTATTGTTAATCATTTGGTGCAGGTCTTAAAGCTTGTGGTGCCTCGTAACCTATGTAGACGAACACAAGCCAAGCAAACGCGCACGTTTGTAACAAAAATTTAGTTTTCACGGAGAGGAAGATTTAGGAGAGAGTGAGAGAGAGCGAGATTTAACCCTAAATGGCAGTTCAGCAAACGATCCTCAGCTTTCAGCGCTCACTCCCCTTGAAAAAAGCCAGACATTTAAATTGCCAAGGGAGAGAATCGTGTCGTAATCGAAAACGTGAAATTACGGTGTTGCGAAAACTTCATGTCAAAGGTGCGAAAAACCATCCTAGAGCGTCACGCGATACTATATCCGTTCAAGCGCGAACGAGCTTTAAGAACTGTCAGAATCTGTAGAGGATTTAAATTAAACAAACCATAAGAGGTGGAACGACAAAGAGTAAATAAGGGGGTTCATACTGCAATGGAAAGCTAAATAGCCCATAGTTAAGTTTCTTTCTCGTCGCACGAAATAGAGAACCGTTTTCTTTCATAGGATCCTGAATTTTGCGTTGACCAAAAAAGTATAACTTGTTTTCTAATAATGGGCACCTATGATTAGAAAGGTCGCTATGAAGACTGCTGGGCACACCCCGGATATATCTGATACATCGCATTGAAAAGTTATGAAAGTCAAGCATCTTGTCACTTTGACGTCATCGACCACCGGAAGTAATTTTCTCGAAACAGGCTATTAAGAGTGACCTCGTGGAGCTCAACATCCATTTAACTCTAAACTCGAGAAATTCGTGAGTTGCTGAACGGCGCCCTAGTTTGAGCCAAAAGGTAAGTTTTTATTTGTGAATCTCTTTTTGCGTACCTTTAACTGCAAGCAAAATCGCACAGGCGCAGTATTATTCTCGCCCCCTCGCTGCCC